TAAAAATTGCTAAAACTAAGTAAAAATAATATCAAACTTTTTATATTTACCAGTGTCATTTTTTTTAATATGACTGTAGAATAAACAACCAAGTTCACACAAATTATAATTCTAAAATAGAATTTAATGAGGAAAAAATTCCTTTAATTTTTATGTACTTTTGAAAAAAATTTTATAAAAATAATAATATTTTTATAAAAGTTCTGAAGACTCCTACAAAAATTGCTATAAAAGTTTTTTTTTCAAATATCATAAAGACTTTATAAAGAAATTTTTACACAAAGTAGAGAAATTAATCAATAAAAAGTTCTGAAAAAAGCTAATAAAAAAACTTTATTTTTAAACAAAAAGTTCAACATACTTTACAAGTTATGAGACACTTTGTCAGGTTAAAAGTTTGATTATGGTTGCATGCTGTCATACACTAAATATAAAAAAAACGAAACACCTGTTAAACTAAAAATTAATTTTTATTATTAGAAACAAGCCTTAGATGAAATAATGTATATTTAAATTCTGTAGAATGGTAAAATCGTCATCGTCTCATATAAATTTATTACAAATGTCTCCTGATTTCTTATAATACTTAATTTTGTAAACTATACCAACAACTTCTATAACTTCTGCTAAATAAAGCCTCTAGGCTTTATCTAGGCTCTATCTAGCTTTATCTATTTTTATTCGGCCAACTTGATGATTAAAAATCTCAGAAAAATTTTACTTAAAGTAAGTATATTTACTCCAAAATAAATTTCATCAGAACTTTCATCATTTAAAAACTAAAAGATAATCTGTTTTGTTATTTTAGGTGTATCAGTTAAAATATGCAATTTTCTTTCACACCTATTATGTGTTTTTTTGTATTAGTTGTTATTCTTAACCTGGCTTTGGAATGAGGTCGAATTATTTAGGTAAAACAATAATATTGATGGTAAACTCACAGGAGCCCTTTCTCATAAATTAAATGATGTCGATGGTGAAATGGCAGGAGCAGTTTTAACACCAATACTATCATTAGAAATGGAAACTTCAGTATTCACTATTGGCCTATCAGTAATATTTGCAGCTAAAATATTTAAAGCAATAAAAATTCTTTCAACCATGTTCCCCAGGGCTGTCCTGAGGGGGGCAAAGGGGTGTCTAGCCCCTGGTGATTTGTCATTCTTTGTTAGTTATTCTGGAAAGACAATCTGGTGATCAACTTTCTGGAGGAATATATTGGTTTCTTACTTATAATAAAAGTAAGTTTTAAATGTCTTTTCCAAAATACAAATTATTCTCAATGAAAAATTGCACAAACCGCAAAGGTTTCTTACCAAACCGTAATGCAAGTAAGAAAAAGAATTGATACAGGGAAAGAGTTTGGTCCAAGGAGACCACCTTCTAAACGCAAGAAAACACCAAGAGCGGACAGTATAATCAGAAATATCTGCCTGTAAAACAGAAAAAAAGCCACTAAGCTTACCCATGAAGCTGTAATTGTTGTGTTAGACCGGACCATTTGCAGAAGGCTAAAAGAAGAGGGACTAATGTCCAGCCAAAAAAGTCAAAAAGTGACAAAAAAATTCAAAAGTATTAAAAGTAATGTCAAAAATCTTATATTTATGCAAGATGGTGCAACATGCCACACAATAAAAACTGTTATGGCTTAGTTGATGTATTGCTATGGCCAGACAATTCGCATGATCTTAACCCCATAGAAAACATTTGGGAAATAGTAAAGCAAAAGATTGGAAAAAAAAATCTTACTAATAAGCAAGATCTTATTGAAGAGATTATCAAGATCTGGCATAATAACCCAGAGTAGACAAAAACTATAAAAAATAAATTGCAAGCATGCCACAATGCAATGAAGCAGTTATTGCAAATAAAAGTGTTTTTGCAAAATATTTATACTTTATATATATTTTATATAATTTATCAAAATAATCAATAAATATTCAAAATGTTCAACTTTATTTATTTATTTTTATCAAGTACAACTTTATAAATAAAAGAAAAAACTTTAAATTGCACCATTATTATATATATATATATATATATATATATATATATATATATATATATATATATATATATATATATATATATATATATATATATAATATATTCATATAAGCATATGTATGTATATATACATACATATACATGTATGTTTATTTATGTACATAAATATGTATGTATATATAGAGTAAAAAAAAGGTTAAGTATGCGTTACAAATCAACCTTTGTACTTTAAGGTTGTTCTTTAGCTCAAGGAAATACAAAAGTAAGAGTAAACAGTTACAAAAAAATTATAATCAGACATAAAAAAAAAAGATTTATTTTATGTCTGATTAGAATTCGTCAAACTTTTAAAAATATATGCTACACAGAATTTTAACACAAGTTTAAAACAAACTATAATAAAAAGATTGAAAAGATTTTTTATTTAAAACTACTTTTAACAAACCTTTGCATCACATTTATTTGTATTTGTCTTAATGGTTTTACCTCCAATTTTAGAAAGTTTGTTAACCTAAAGGTTTAAGAAAACAATTACACCACATTATTTTTAAAGTACATTTATAAAAAGTTACAAGTAGATTAACTTAGGCTAAGTTATTATTAAATACTCAATCAAAAAATAATAAAAAAACTGCAAAAAGTCATGGTTTGAAACAACTCATCACTTCTGACCTCAACCAAGAATCATTTAATCTGTTATCAAAACCATTAAATTACTGCTGCAAGTTCATCCATAGAATTTCAGAACTATTTGTCATGATATTACTTTAATTACTGGAAAGAGTTTTTACTAACATCTCTTTCTAACAATAAAGATATATCAGAAAGACAAAAGAACCAAACATTAATTAATTTCTAAAAACGTTGAAACACAAGAACAAAACATTTATAAAATAAAACGTTATTCATAAATTAAATAAAATGTATTAATTTAGCAACCAATAAAATGTGTAAATCACTGAAGCATAGAAAAAAATGTTCAGAATCTTTTCTTCCTAAATCAACTTGCAGATAGACAATTAATACCTTGAGCTACAGTATGTGGAGTATGCATAAAAATTGTTTTCTGTTTCTTTTTTTGCATTACAGGAGTAGGTACTTGCTTACTATTCTGTTGGTTATGTTTTCTCTTGCATAAGCATGGTAGTGGCTCCTATAAAAATTAATATCAAAATGAAACTAATAATACTTGAATTAAGTATCTTTTTAAATAGTATCGTTTTCTGAATCTGATTCTATCTGAGTATAACTAGTTGTGCCAAATTCAAATTTATCACATAACTCATGATCTAAGAATATTCATTCAATTTAAAAATGTTTTAAATAAATTATATAATTAAGAATATATAAAAAAGAATATATCTAAACACTGAAAACAAAATATACAGAATAAAAGCATGTTAAAAAAACAAGGAAAAAAAGTAATGACTTAATGTTTATATTTTAAAAAATTACATTATCTCCATGACATCTAATTAAATCTGTAATAGTTAGACTTTGGTTTATGCATTTCATTGAAACAATTTATTACATTTAATGATGATGGGCAGCACAAAAAATTAACAATCAAATTTTCTCTCTCTATTTCTCTGTATTTTCTATCCAAACAGCTCGAATGTACATTTTGCTTGCCCTACTATACTTTTTCAACTGGAAAAGTATAGTAAAAAATATAATAGAAAAAATACTCATATATTAAAAATTTGTTCATGTAAAATAGCTCACAGAAAAATACATATTTAAACTGTACATTATGATACATTATACAGTTGCTAAAATTAGCTAAATTTTTATGTTGATCTTTCTACCAACCAATATCATGGACTAAAGGAGCAAGCACAAATTCTTTTTTATACAACTTTACAAAAAAAAACTTTAAAAATTTAATAAAAATTTTTTATTATGAAAAATAATCAAACTCTTTAAATCACATGGATTGTTAAAAAAGCTTGATAAATCATTATTTTGTAAAACATTATCCATTATCATACAAAAATTCAACACAATAAAACTTTCCATTAGTTAGTAAAAAGCCATTTTAGATTAATAAATAATTATTCCTTAACTGTTCCAATTAAGGCAACTCTTAATATAAATATATATATATATATATATATATATATATATATATATATATATATATATATATATATATATACAAATATATATACACAAATATATAATATGCATATATAATATATACATACACTATATATGTATATATACATACATAATAAAAATATATATACTATATATATACATATATATATATAAATATATATATATATATATATATATATATATAATATATATATATTATATATATATGTTATATATATTATATATATATATATATATTATATATATAATATATATATATATAATATATATATACATATATATATATATATATATATATATATATATATATATATATATATATATATATATATATATATATATATATATATATATATATATACAAACTAGTCTTGTCAAATATACTAACATACATAGTAAAACAATTTAATCAAACTCTAAAAAAAAACTTACTTAAAAAACTGTAAAAATAATTCAAATAATCTCTACTTGTAATCCACACTCATGAAATAATACGGTCATAAAGAAATATCCATTTAATATTTACCTAACTAACTGCATTACAAGTTAAGCCATGTATTATTGTTATATTGTCAAATTCAAAACTTTATAAAAAGGCAACAGATGGCCTAATTATTAGCATGTGTGACTTTACTTGTTTTTATTGGGCTAATAAATAACTTGTTAAATCTTTACTTGTTATTAATAACAAGTATATATATAAACATAACATAACATAACAAATATATTTGTTATGCTGATAAAAAAAATTTTAAGTCACGCATGCGTATTTTAATTCTCATATTGCAATTACGAACGGTCGAACTCGTAATATAGACGTTGAATTAACGTAGAATCAACGTCGATTTTATTTGATAGTTTTAAACAAATTTTTCAACGTTGATTCAACGTTGATTTTTGATTATACGACGTCGCGACTAAAAATTAACTGTAAATCAATGTCGAAATAACGTCGTGTGCCCACTGGGACACGTTCATTTGTTAGTTTAGTTCGAACTGTTTTATAAGACAATCCGATGCCACTTTCTTTAACAAACTTTCGGAGAGTTTTTTGATCTAAAAAAATAATTATTAAAACTAATTTCGTGTAACCATGTGTTCATAAACATAATTAACAGAATTTTGAAAATAGAAAATTAATACTTTGAATTATATTTACTCACCAGGCATAGCGTCACGCTCAATCTCTTTAGAAAACCTCTCAAGTAATAGTTTCTCAGTTCTTGAATTCCAGCAATGATAAGGTCTGCTTACTATAAAATTTATAGTTTAAGTCATAATCTACTACTCTTTTTATATATCATTGGCTCAATTTTCTTATATTATACTATTAAACTGATAAACTGACACAAAAATGGAAAGCGCCGATAACTGAGTCATGCCAATAACTATGAATCTATCTTATCTGTCATTTCCATGTTGGCAGTCAAGAATGCTGCATGAAAAAAAAAATTAAGGGAATTCCGGAAAATGGATAATCTCTATGCTTAAAATACACCTTGTGATTTCTCTTCAATATTTCTGGATAAAAAAAATTCTACATAAAGGTAATGGAGTTTTTTTTTTTTTTAAAAAAAAACAAAAAAAAAAACCATTTTTTAAAGTTAATTTTGGTATTTGTTAAACATCATCAGGGTTTATCTAGGTTCTAAATGAAAGATTTTTCTGACTCAACTCATATTTAATATATAAGTAATTTTCCTGACTTTCTTTTTCTTGAAAAACAATTTTTACCCCCTGACTTTTTCTTCTTTTAATCATCAATGATTTTGGTTAAAATTTTAACTGATGGTTTCTTTGATTTTTCTTAGCATTCTTTTTCTTTTGATCAAGATCAAGCTAATATTTTAAGCACGCGCCTTTCACAAACCTTATAAACTTGTTTGTTAGTTTCAGTGTTGAAGGTATCAGGTTGTTTTTTTACACAAGGCCTACCCTTCATCTTTCTTTATATTATTGGTTATATATTGGTTATATATTGGTTACAATCTTAATAACATCAAGTCCTCTCTACCCTTGTTTTACTATGACTTGTAACTAAAACCAATATAAGAACAAAATAGATTTTAACTTTTTGGTATATGTATTGTGGGTTTATGAAAAAAAGAAATTATTAAGTCTAGCGCTCTCACAACTTGAAGACTCTACTATTTCAAGATCTTGAGATAACACTGCCAACAGAACTGAATATTGTGGCAAAACTTTCTCTGCTAAAGTTGCATTAATAATCTTCAATGAGTCAAGAGTTGTTTCATCTTTCTTCGTAATTTGACCAGTTGCATACAGAATTTGGATCTATCGATTGGATTGGTCATATACAGGAACTTGAATCAAACACATTTGCAATTCATACCATGCAATGATTATAATGAACTTTTCCGAGTGATTTTCTCCAATAAAAAAATTACCATATTTGCAGCATCCTTCTTTAACTTTTTTTACATCTGCAGATTTCACTTTATCTTGACGTAATAAATTCTGAAGTTTTTTCTAAGTTGAAAATCTAAATGAATATCTTTTATCTCTAGATAAATACCTTTATCAGTAATATCAAGCTCTAATAAGTTAAGAAGAGAATAAAATTTAAGAAAAATATCAGTTTTAACAACCAACTGAATAGGGATCTATGCAGCATCTCTAGGTCCTTGCCAAGAAAAGACAACATGAGATCATCTGTTTAATATTTTTTTCAGATTTTCTGGCTGCAAAAGGTGTGATATAGTAGAAAAATAAAAGCTTTTATACTAAAAGACATTTTAGTATAAAAGCTCTTTGACAATGGCCTTTTAAAATATGTGGCCAATATGTACTTATTTTCTGTCGCAGCAGCCAGATTTAAAGCTTCAGCAGTGTTTGGTTGTGCATCAATTTGCTGCGCATCTATTTTTAAACAAACAAACAAAACTATATTTACCAGGTTATCAAGTATATTATCTAGTATACAACATACAAAATGGTTTTTTTGCATGAATTTTCATTATATTAATTTATAAATTTCATACAAAAAATTAAAGTATACCTTTCTAAACTTGTACATTCTAAACTTGGAACATATTTGAATAAAATAGATAGTTGCATACACATTTCAGTGAATAAATTTACTTCAAGAGCAATGTTCTAAATTTACATTCTAAACTTGGTAAACGTTTATAATACACTTTTAATTATTAAAAAAAAAAAAATTGAAAAGAAATAAGTATATTCTTATTTCGGCATCATATATTTTACAAAAAAAGGTAAAGAAAAACTTCATACCTAATAAATGCTAAAAATTTAGAGAAAAATTATCTTCACTCGTTTTAATCTAAAGAGTATTACAAAAATTTGTAGAGCGAAGCTCGTTTTAGTACAATTCGGAGGGTTCTGTAATAAAATATCACATCCGCCTAAAATATTACATCCCCCATAGAAAAAATAAAAACGAGAACGCGCTTTCGAGTCATTGCACTTAGAAGTGTATCAAATACGTCCGAAACATTCAATTATAAACAATATAATTAAAACGAGATTCATAAAAACGTTTTTTTACTAATATATTATAAATGAAGTTAGCATAAAATGGTAATATATTTTAAATTCTTATTTATAATATTTTGATCGTAATGTATTGTGTGACAATAGCGTAGAAGAAGATTACACATTAGGGATACTTTATGTAATAAAAATAACAATCGTTTGCAATATTTTAGAAGCCTGCATAGGGGGGATGTGATATTTTAAGCAAGAATTCTAGTTTCTTTTTATGACATATACAGAAATAACAGGTGGTGGATGTTATATTCTATATACCAAATACTAATTGTTTAAAATACTTTATAAACTACTTAGGGGGATGTAATATTTTAGAAGTAGACATCGGGGGGATGTTATATTTTAAGTAAGAATTTCAGTTTCTTTTTGTGACATATACAGTGAATAAACCGAGGGGATGTGATATTCTAGATACCAAATACTAATCGTTTGAAATATTGTATGAATTACTTAGGGGGATGTAATATTTTAAAGGTAAACATAGAGGGGATGTGATATTTTAAGTAAGAATTTCAGTTTCTTTTTGTGACATATACATAGAATCTACAGGGGGATGTAATATTTTAGGTATCAAATACTAATCAATTGAAATATTGTATGAATTACTTAGGGGGATGTAATATTTTAAAAGTATACATAGGGGGGATGTGATATTTTAAGTAAGAACTTCAGTTTCTTTTTGTGGTACATACAGAACTTACAAGTGATGGATGTGATATTCTTGGTACCAAATAGCAATCGTTTGAAATATTGTACGAATTACTTTGGGGGATATAATATTTTAGAAGTATACGTAGGGGGGATGTGATATTTTAAGTAAGAAGTTCAGTTTCTTTTTGTGAAATATACATAGAGTCTACAGGGGGTGTGATATTCTAGGTATCAAATACTAATCAATTGAAATATTGTATGAATTACTTAGGGGGACCTAATATTTTAAAGGTAAACATAGAGGGGATGTGATATTTTAAATAGCAAATATTAATTGTTTGAAATATTGTATGAATTACTTTGGGGAATGTAATATTTTAAAGGTAAACATAGAGGGGATGTGATGTTTTAAGTAAGAATTTCAGTTTCTTTTTGTGACATATGCAAAGATTCCACAGGGTAGATGTGATATTTTAAATACCAAATATGAATTGCTTGAAATATTGTAGAAAAGTACTTAGGGGGATCTAATATTTTAGAAGTATACATAGGGGGGATGTGATATTTTAAGTAAGAATTTTAGTTTCTTTTTGTGGTATAAACATAATTTGCAAGTGATGAATGTGATATTCAAGATAGCATTTACTACTCATTTGAAAAATTTAATGAATTACTTAGGGGATGTAATATTTTAAAGATATACATAGGGAGGATGTGATATTGGGGAATATTTTAGAAGCCTGCATAGGGAGATTTGATATTTTTATTTAGAATTTTTGCTGTTATTTGCAAAATGTGCAGAGATTACTCAAACAGTCTTTTTTAATTCATATTTCATTGAGCTAACAAGTTAAAAATGTATTATTGTTCAATCAATTCATATGTATGCCAACATATAAGTTTACACAAAATAATATGTATGCCGACATGTAATCTATGCCGAATGTAAAATATGCCGAAATATGTAAAATATGCCGAATATGTATGCCAATGATTTACACAAAATAATATGTATGGCGACATATGAATTGGCAGAATTATGAAGGCTTCCGACAATTTAAAGTATTATAACAATATAAGAAGTCACTAAAAATAGGGAGAAAAAAAATTTCACCTTTTCGAGTTTTTATCTGTAAGGGCATAAACATTTAAATTGGTTCAATTTATGACAAAATTTTGAAGAAAAAGAAATGACTGCAATTTTTAAAGTTTTATTTATTATTACATTTATATATAAATATGTTCACAACAAAATAAAGTTTCATTTTTAAAAACAATGCATCTTATACGGTACCATCAATTTGGATGCAAATATCACATTTGATCTAAAAATAAATAATAATGTACATTTTTGTATTTGAATATTTAAAGTAAGTGTTTTATTCTATTTGAAATAATTAAAATAAATATTATTACCCATCATATACCCAAAAAAAATTATATTTTATTACACATTATATACCCAAAAAAACAATTAAAATATATTTTATTACCCATTTAACTTTTTTTTGATTTTTTCTAGTTTTTTGACCAATTTCGCTTCCACAAATGCGACACAAACTATTCTGCCAACTTTTCTGACCTATTGATTTAATTTTTCATCATTTTTTTTTTTGTCTTTTTTAGAGATATTATTTAACATTGAAGTAGTATAAACATTTTCAGTTCTCTAAATAATCTCACAAACCTCCTTTATCTCTCTTTCTATATGCATTAACTTCTACATGTGGAAAGAAACGCACCAATACTTCTCCATTTGTATAACTTTCAGCAAACTAAAATATGTAAGCTTATATATATATATATATATATATATATATATATATATATATATATATATATATATATATATATATATATATATATATATATATATATATATATATATATATATATTTGTGTGTGTGTGTGTGTGTGTGTGTGTGTGTGTGTGTGTGTGTGTGTGTGTGTGTGTGTGTGTGTGTGTGGGTGTGTGTGTGTGGGTGTGAAATACTCTATAATTAAATTAATAAATCATTAATTTTTTTTAGATAAAAGTTTTTGAATACCTTATGCCGTCTTTGTATTAAATCAGTTTTAATTTGCAATTCATCCAGTGAGCGTAGCCCAGCTGGCTACAGTACTTTGACTCGATTCTTCAAAGCATCAATAAATGGAATGGCATTCAATATATTGTTTTATATTTAGAATTAAAATTTTATTTAAATAAAGACAAAATAAAAAAAAAAAATGCGTTATTGTTTTTTTGTACAATAATTTTATTATAAAGTACATTAATTAATTATACTTTTTCTTTACTGTTTACTAATATTTTGAGATAAATATTAACAACTTCGTCGTGTACCTTGCAGTCACCTAAATCTGGATGTATACCCAGAATGACTTTTACAGGGTTTTTTAATATGGATACATTTTAATATTCCGTAACCTATTCATGAAATGCAATTTAAGGATAATTTCATCAAAATTTAAGCATAAGCCTTTCTTCTAATAAAATAACGACTATTACATTTATTGAAGATTACATGTTTTAAAACTCTACACATTTCTTCACCAGGTTGGATAATGTTTAAATTGATTATTTAAATAGGTTTACATAAAAATCTTTATTACAATAAAAAGGTAACGCTAAAAAAATGTAAAAGTGATTTATTATTATATACCTTCACTGTCTTTAGATGCAAAGATTTTTATAATTATCTGCCTCCTCTAGAAAATAAATTATAAATAAAATAAAACGCTAACAATTACAAATGAGTTAGTAAGTTTTTAATTCATACCTTCACTATTATTAACTTCAAAGCTTTTTGTTGGTGTCTCTGCCTTCTCTTGAAAATAACCATAAAATAAAATAATGAAAAAATATATTTTTTAACAATAAGTTAAAATAAGAAAACGAATATTTTACCCGAGTATAAATCAAAAAACAATAAAAATTGTTTTCATATTAGTATTACCTGTAGAAAGTTAAACAAATATTAGGTTTGAAGAAAAAATAAAATATTTTATAAATAGAATGAAAACTTCATTGAAGTATCAGGTATATCAGTAACTTCTACAGAGTAACAATATTAAAAAAAAAACATTTCTCTTCTCAGCGTTTTTTAAAGACGTTTAAAGACCTGTATTAGGCGTAATAAAATTTAGACGCCTTTGAATAGCTATGGCTTTCTGAGACAAGTGTCTGACAATGATGTCTTTTAAACTAAAATAAGTGAACATAAACTCACAACCTCAACTAATATATTTAAAAATATAATGTAACTTCACTTTGTTTTAGCTCATTCTTTTCTAGCGCTTATCTTTCTTTAAACCTTTTAATTTTCTAAACTGATCAAAACGAGCTTCTTGATTCACAAAAAAGTTATGCCAAATATTGTGCGGCCGTGGCGCAATGGTTAGATCATAGGCTTTGTAAGCAGGAGATCCAGGTTCAAAACGAGCTTTGGACATATTTCGCGTCATGGTAAGAAAGGAGGCGTGAACTTCCTGGTTAAATGCACTTCCGCGGTGCTCTGTGACAAGACCGTTAGGACTTCTTAGGGTACCTAAATAACAAATTAAAAAAATATATATATATAAATAAGGACAATTTTGTGCAGATTTTTTGTTATGTTTATTATGGCTACGCGTTGGCACCGGACTCGTTGAATAAAAATTTAATCAATCTTTATTATAACAATTAACATAGTCAGTTTTGTTACCTAATTCAATCATTTAAATTAAGCCACTACGCTTTCGTCTTTTTTTCAAACTTGTTGAATTCAACGCTATAAATCTGTCATTATAAGGATGATTATTATCTGTTAGTGAAATCTTCTTCGAACCATCTTTAGCATTTGTGTCATTAAGAAAATAGGAAAACCTAACAAAAGCAGAATATTCTTAGTGTGGAAGAATAATACTTGCTCAATAGTATTTTTTTTCAAAATTTTAATTTTTACAAAAATGTTGTGTTAACATTTGATAGAATATATATATATATATATATATATATATATATATATATATATATATATATATATATATATATATATATATATATATATATATATATATATATATATATATATATATATATATATATATATATATATATATATATATATATATATATATACAACAAACCGTTTATGTACTTTGTCTTTTACAGTACATTATTCTTTATCATTTCAGTTCAGTATGATATTGGATGATTCTAATACATGAAATACATGATTTTATAATTTATTGTCATAAATATAAGTTAATTTTTTAACTGCCACTTTTAAAAATTTGTATAATTTTAATAATTGTGAACTGGACTAAATATTATTAACTCGCCTCAACAGGCTCAATAATCACATTATATTTCCATACCAAGCCACCCAAAGAAACGTTAATATTTAAAAATAGTTCTTTAAAATGTTCCTTTATTAAGAAAAGAAGTTTCTATTATTCAAAAAAAGTATCTAAAGAATTTATAACCTTCCCAAAACATTACGCCTAAGCCACCATAGGTGGACGTAATGGAGAAAAATTTTAAATTATGCAATAGAATTAAAAAAGACAAACCGTAATTATTTATTTTCCTTCAAAACGTTTTTTACATTAAAATATTTATGTTGTAAGATATGAATACATTTAGAGTAAAAAATTATTGTTATTAATTTCGTTCATTTTAAATCTTATGAAAACTTTAATTCCACCAAAGTTTTATATATGACTTCGTTGAACAATGTCGCATGTTTAAATTGTTAGCTCAATAGTATCTAAAAAAAAAAAAAATATTAAATTAAAACTTTAAAAAGCTAAAAAACACTTTAAATATTAAAGTTTCTTGATTTTATTAAAAGTTCTTTAATTTTTTTTTAATTCTTTAATTAAATATATAAATTTATTATAAAGATCTCCCCATCAAAGGAGGACCCAAGAAACAAAAAATAGCTAACAATATTTGAGATAGATATCTAACTTAAATTACACATCAACCCTATGCAGGCGTCTAAAATATTATTATTATCCCACTAAGGAATTCTTTTCAATATTTTAAACAATTAGTATTTTGTGTTTTAAATATCAGATTCCTCACTTAAAAATTCTGTGTGTATCACATAAAGAAACTAAAATTTTTACATAAAATATCACATCCCCCCTTTGTATACTTTTAAAATATTACATCCCCCTAAGTAATTCTTTACAATATTTCATTAGGTATCAAATACTAATCAATGATTAGTATTTAGTACCTAGAATATCACATTCCCCCTATTTATTCTCTACAAATGTCACAAAATAAAACTGAAATTCTTACTTAAATTACACATCCACCCTATTCAGGCGTCTAAAATATTACATCCCACTAAGTAATTCATAAAATAATTCAAACAATAAGTATTCGGTAACTAGACTATAACATCCATCACTTGTAATTTCTGTATAAATAACATAATGAAACTGAAATTCTTTCTTAAAATATCACATCCCAACTATGTCTACTTCTAAAATATTACATCTCCCAAAGTACTTCTTTACAATAGTACAATATTTCATTTAAAAAAAAGTACTTCTTTACAATAATAAAATATTTCATTTAAAAGTTCTGTATATACCACAAAAAGAAACTTAAATTCTTATAATATCACATGCCCTCTATGGGTAAGTACATGATTCCATAGCGTAAAGTTAGGTCCCGTAAAATGTTCCGCAATTGTCCCGCTTCACGTCCAGGACAGAGTTAACATAATTAATTTTTGCATTTATAATTTAATTTATGAAATAATTAATATTCTTTAAATGTGGAGCACGTTTTCACCTGGTTATCGTCGAAGATTAAATTTAAATTGATAAAAAAATTATTATTATAGATAATCATAATTTAAATTTATTAGAAAAAACAACATTGAGTAGAGGTAATACAAGACATTTTAACTTTTTTAGACAAAATATTTTAAATTTTGAATATAAAAAGCTTAAGTTGATGTTTGTTTTACTACTCGTTTAAAAACATTTCTCAGGAATGACATCCCTGAGAAATTTAAAAATTTAAAAACATTCCGAATGTTTTTAAACGAGTAATATAATATAAGCTTTTTATATTCATAATTTAAAATATTTTGTCTAAAAAGGAATTTTCTCTACAAGCACGCTTTAAATGAAATATCAATTTCCACGTTTGTATGGTTGTTACTGTTTAAATTTTTTTAGTTGTTATTTCTCAAGAAGGAAGTTGGGTTACTGTAGAAACATACGTTGAAGTACTTTTTTTAATACATAGCTACGAAACAGAGGCTGTATCAAAGTTAAGTTGCTAAAAACTGGAAATATGGTATGACAATTTTAATTAAGTGTTTTTAAAATGCAATTGCAAAATTTTAATTTTCTTTTAAAGTTGTTAAGTTATTACTTAAAATTTTTGTTGTTGTTGTTATCTTTAAAGATTCTTCTGCAAAACACCACAAAATAAGATGATTCAATATCATTTAATGGTACTCCCTTTATGGTTTTAGGATGTAAAGTGCTTGATTGTATGCACGGGAATGATAGAAAAGCCTCTTCCTAAGAATTTTATAAAGTTCTTTTATTATTATAATATGTTTTTCTTTATCAATTTGTTTCTAAAATAGCTCCTGTATTTAATGATTATATGTCTAAACCTTTTATTTTTGTTCTTTTGTCTAATTTTCTTAATAGGTATCAGATCACAGTTTAAAAAGCTATTTGCTATATTTAAATTTCTTGGTCACCAAGAAATTTAACTGTAATTTTCAAATAAAAATTTAGAAAGTTTAAAAGTTCCCAAGTTTTAAGGTTTTATTTCATTGTTTGTTTAATTTATATTATTGAAATGAGATTTAAGTCAGTCCTATTTTAACTATTAAGACATGCATGCATCAACTTAAAATATAACCAATTAATTTATGCTAATTCTTTTTAAAATAAACTTTGTTTTAGATTGCTAAGGATACTAAATTTAGAAGAGTGCAATTCTCAAACCGTATTAAAGATGCTTTGTCAAGAAATAAAGTAGTAAGGGAAAGAGTGTTTCCAGTTTGCTTTCCTTCAAAAAGTTCTCATACTGGTCATTATACTAGAGATGTAAGATTTCTTTTTTCTTTTTTGTGTAGATAAAGTTAAACAATAGATTTTAAAAGAAAAAAACATTAAAGAGTTATCCAAATTAATTTTCATTTCTTGTTTGCCTGTTTTAAACATCTTAAAGTTAGTTTATTGTTTCAAACATGTTATTTAACTTGTTTTGTCATATAACATTTATTAAATTTTAACATTTATATTAATATGTTTCCATTTATTTAAACCAACAACAATAAGGTTGTAGTAAATCTTAATTGCTATTTTTATTGCTGTTGTTTAAGAACTTTAGATTTAATATTGTTTAAAATATGTATAAACTTTCTTGTGTTCAGTATATTTAGTATATCATATTTAGTATCTTGATCCAGATTACTTAAGGGCTTAAATTTAAATGTCTGCTCCTAATGATGGTTTTGTTATATACTCGGTATGTTCTTATACTATTCCTAATATATGTAATATTGTTCATACAAACTTCAATATTTTCACCAGGGGTGGGTTTTGTCACTCACCAAGGAGGTGGCTAAAATGGTTTTTAAAAAAAAAGGTCCGCATTTTTTCACTTAAAAGTGACTTTCTTTAACTTTTTGTACTTTAGTGTAATAATCAAGTTCATATATGTATAATTACCTATAATAGTCAATTACCTATAATAGTCAATCCCAATGGGGGGCGGGGGCAACTACCCCCATGCCCACTCTAAAACTCGCCACTGATTTTCACAGTCTGCTGAAGCTATTAAGTGTATCAATGAAGAGAACTGATCTATCAATCATTTTTACTAGCAATCAATAAAATATCTCATTGGAAGTAGGAAGAAGGAAGCTTGTACTATTGTAAAATAAAATGATATCTGTTTCTGTAGCATTATATATATTGAAGTGTACTTTATCAAATTGCATGATTTCACATTTATCCTTATTAAAACTGATTAGCCTTTTTTTTTTTCCAGTTAAATAAGATGTCAAGATCAAACTGTGGAGAGTGATTTTTTTTTTTTTTTTTTCTAATTGAGTTATTTTCTAAATTTTCAAAATATTTTCAAAAATTTCAAATACTTCTTGGAATATGCATCTTAAATATGGAATTCATATTTTAATAAAGATATAATTTTTATCGAAAAAGTCCAACAAAAAGCCGCAAAAATTGGCTACAAAAGAAAGAGAGCAAGTTACGAGCAAAGATTAAAAGAAATGGGCTTACAAAATCTATCAAATAGAAGAGAAAACAGCGATCTCATTAAAATGTTTGAACCTATAAACAACCATGATATTATCAATTAGAACTGCGTTCCACAAGTATTGGGTAGGCTTACAGAGGCCACAATCAAAGGTCGAGAAGACATTTTGTTAAAAACGTTTTGTTGAGACCAATTTTTTTACAAACCATATACAGTGGGTTGCCAAATTATTTGGGACACTTCACTTTTTAAGTAATTTTAAAGTTTAAATGATTTTTGCAAGCAAATAATTTTTTTTAAATAAAAAGTTTTGAGTGTATTTTAGTCACTAATATAACTATAGTTGTTTTTAAACTGTGGCAATTTGTGATAACCCGATCTGTCAAAATGTTAGGTTATTACTCAATTAGCTGTCAATTTTTGAAAAGTGTGGTTGAAAGTCAAAAATTCAAAATTGATTTCAGTTACTTATTTTTGGAACAATTTTTTGCAAGTTTTTTGAGTTTAAAACTATTGAAACCTAAATATTCGTTAATAGTTCAATTAGTTTAGTTATTAATTTAGTATTTTTGCTACTTTTAATGCATAAATCCCTGACATACAACTATTCT